TTTGGTGTAGGCTACACTGGTATCCGTATAATTGACTCACTTTAGTGAGAATAATATAGTACAGTACTTTAACTGTTAATAAAGAGGAAAACTTGGTGGACTATTGGCCATCCCCTTACGGGACGGACGTGCGAAGGATTAATGAGACTTAGGATCAAATCTCAGGTTCCTTTCCCTTTCCTGGAAAAAAACAAAAAAGTTTTTGACTGTTCAAAAAATAAAAAAATAAAAAAAATTAAAGAGGAAAACTTCTAATGTTAAGGGTCTACCCTTTCTAGGAACGCATGATCTGCACTTTGTTATTTTTTTTTATTATTTTTATTTTAATTATAAGCACTCACTTTAATATATCACTCAATTAATTATGAGCATGGATCCCTCCCTATTTCTTTAATCAACAATGTGTCTAGATTAGTGCAGTTCATTAATTTCAAAATTGTAGAAAAAAATAAAAAAAGGTTAGTGCGTTTTCCCTACACTAATAAAGCTTTAAATGGAAGCAAATGAAAAACACAAATTTCTTATTGTAGTGGTGGGCAGTCAGTATTTTTTTAATATATTAATATATATAACACGGGGAATTCAAGCTTCTGGCTTGATTAGTGTCACGGTTACTTATAAATCATTTTGCATGTGCTGAATTTCAAACTCTTTTTTTTTCAACATAATTTGCATCCATTCTTCCCCCTTGAACTTACCACAAAATGAGGGAGGAGGAAGAAATATGAGTAAATAAAGATGTTAATTTTATTTTTTTAATTTAAAAATGTTAATTTTTAATTTTTATTTAAAAATTAATTTTTAATTTTTTTATTTAAAGATGTAAACTTTTAATATTCATTTTTATTTGTAATGTTAACATTATCATTTAATTAATTTTTAAATAAAAAAATTAAAAGTTAACATCATTAAATAAAAAATAAAAAATTAACAAAAATTAGAGTTAAAACTAATGGCAGCGTTGAGTAAAAGACTAAATTAAGAAAACTGTTTGAGAAAATTATATCTAAACTACGAAATTGCTTGTGAGACTAAAATGTAGATAGTATTAGGCTAGTTGTATGAGAGATCGATTTTACTTGCTTAATCTCATCATTCGGTATTTATAGCATTTTATCAGCATGGTGAAGATCTACCACAGTATCTTGAAAACTAACG